GAATTCCGATTCGAGATTCCGAACGCAGCACGTTCATATAAAATATATGACCCGTCACACACGTACGGTAGTTTTCCGTTCGAAATTTTGCGGGCAAAACGGGATTCCGTATGTGTGTGGCCGACCCGTTCGGTATGTATGCGGCGGGCCTAAACAATATGCAACATTTAGCGGTGGGCCGTAGCGGATTTTTGAGTAACGAAACGAAACTATCCATGGATATACAATATGTGACAGTCAATCAACCCGTAGGCGTATTACGTATCTTGCAGAAGGCTAGCGATGGCGAAATTAGAACAATAATTGTCGCTAGTTAGCTTGATTATCGCTGGTACGTAATACGAACCTGCGATTTATCAGCAATTATATTGTTCTAATATCGCTATCGCTAGCCTTCTGCAAGATATGTAATACGCACAGCCTACGGCCACTCTAACCTCACCGTCTACTGCCCGTTTATCGCAATAAGATCGCCCGTTTACCGCGGTAATTTATAAAATATATATATATATATATATATATATATATATATGGCGGCGGAAAAAAATATCATTTTTCAAAAAAGAGGTTGACACACAGATTAGTAATCTGTGGATTGACACTGCAGCGGTTTGTGCTTTATGAGTGTGTTAGTTACTTACTATATAATATGAAACTTTTCTGCCTACTTCCAAAAAGGAGACGGTACTCAATTCGACTGTATGTTCTTTTTAATTTTTTTTATGTGTGTTACCTCATAACTTTTTACTGGGTAAATCGATTTCGATGATTCTTTTTTTATTTGAAAGCTGGTACTTCTCGTGTGGTCCCATATGAATTTGATCAAGGTCAGACCTATAGTTTTTGAGTTATTCTTAATAACTTATATTGAAGTCGGCTGTACAAAATTATTAATTTTAAATTATACATTTTAACAAAGCTAAACCAAGACTTAAAAAAAGGTGGTGGATGATAAAAATGCACAGAAAGCATAATAACTTAGTCTTTTTTTTTACCATTGAGCTCATGTCGCGCACACTGAACAAATTGTAGTGTGGCCACTTGACGCGAAAATTACTGCGGTAAACTTCTTTCATATCCGAAAAAGACCGCCACCGAAGCTATTGCTTACCGTCATAATATGTCATATTTATTGATATATATCACGGTAGTAATAAGGACGAATGGATACACAAACGAATATGCATAGCACATATATTACGGCAGTGACATGTTTTTTGGTAGTTATTACCTAACGAGATTTTAGTGTTCACAATAGGTAACTTACTCAATTCAGTCTTGTGAACAAATGTTATCCAACATTTAATACTTTTCCTTCCCAGCCCGAACCCATACAGTATATTATAATACCTCTGTAACTCTGATACTTTTAAATGCATATACAATTTGCAAATAAAAATTTATTTAAGTTTGATTTGATCTTTTATAAGGTCGAATTTCTTGAAGTTATTTTTATTTCTACACTACGTTTGAACTTTGAATACTGATTCTGATAACGCACTTAGCAGGAACCACAGGGCTTTTGTTGCATGTTGTAGGTGGCTTGTACATTATAATTAAAAATATAAAGTTATGGAGAATTTAAGTATAGGATATTTATTAGTGATTACCATACCATCATAGCATTACACATAGATTTAATGTTCTTTTGTTCCTATTTTATGCGGTGCCGTGCCGTTCATCAGATTGCGGTATAAACTTTGTCAACTTATTGCTTGCACTCGCGCGAAGGTTATAGGCATAGTTTAATTAACTAACGTGTGACTTACGTGGTGACGCGCGTATCGTACCGACTACTACCGAAAGTTATAATAATAATAATATTTTTCAATTTTAATGCTCTGAGGGTTAATAATCGCTCACTAGATGGCGATTGTTGAAGGAGTTCATTTGCATAGTTATTTTCTTACAACCAACAGATGGCGTCAGTTGTATTTTATAACGCGATATGGTTTAACTATTTTGAAGAAAAGTATATCCATGGCGCTGTTTAGTTTCTATGTTCAGCAGTGGACTTTATAAGTAAAGTCTACTTATATACTTTTTGTGTAATTCGTTTCGCACGTCCTGTGTCGGACGAATTGATTATGTTAACAGTACTGATATGAAATTTCGTGAATAAAAGCGATTAACAAATAATTTAAAATTAAAAATTTTGTACAGCCGACTTCAATATAAGTTATTTAAGAATAACTTAAAAACTATTGGTCTGACCTTGATCAAATTCATATGGGACCACACGAGAAGTACCAGCTTTCAAATAAAAAAAGAATCATCGAAATCGGTTCACCCAGAAAAAAGTTCTGAGGTAACACACATAAAAAAAAAAACGAAAAAAAAAAACATACAGTCGAATTGAGTACCGGCTCCTTTTTGGAAGTCGGCAGAAAAAACGACGATTGTTTGCTTTGTGATATTAATCGATTTAGGGAAATAAGATTTTTAAAGTAATCGATTTTTGCGAAAAAAAGCATTTTGTTCGACAAAAATGCCTGCTTTCCTATATGTTAATAAAACTACGAGAGTATAGTATCAAAAATAAAATTCTCAAATAAAATGATAAATATAAAACATAATCAGAACGACAATCTTCTGGTTTTAAAACTACAGAACAATTTCTTTAACCTTATAACTTTAAACAATAAAAAACTAAAAATAATTACTGCCATAAATGTTTAGTGCCATTTAACAATTACATGTAACAAAAACCCTGTGGTCCCCGTTAAGTACGTTATCAGGATCATTATTCAAACGCATAGAAATAACTTTTTTTTTAAAACTCGAACAATATTTTTTTTTAATTTTATTTTAAAAAAAAATCTATGCAAATTGTATGTGGATTTATTACGTCTGCGTTGTCTGGGGAGTAAGAGAATTGTTAAGGAGCCCGCTTTACTTAGCTTTAGTGTCAGTAAGAGATAATAAAATAACATAAAATTAAAAAAAATGTGGTCGACTTTTTTAAAAAAAGTTATTTCTCACAGGTTTGAATACTGATCCAGATAACGTACTTAATGGAAACCACAATGTTTTTCTTACATATTGTATATAGATAAAGGCCATTCTAATAGTGAAAATCATACTGGACAAACTTTCTATTGCGTACTTCAGTAAATCCATCCCTCTTCATTAAACCATTTTCTGTTACATCTATTCTCCTAGACTTCAAAAAAAGGAGGTTCTCAATTCGCCTGTATTGTTTTAATGTCAGACTTACCTCAGTAAACCGCAGAACTTTTTTCTAGGTGAACCGATTTTGATGATTCTGAAAGCTGGTGCTTCTCATGTGGTCCCATATAGATTCAGATCAAGATCTGACCAGTAGTTTTTTGAGTTATCCTTAATAATACGTATTTAATTGACTTCGACTACATTGATGATGTTCTCATTTTATTTATATTGAAGTCAGTTGTACAAAATGTTTAATTTTACCAGGTGTTTACTTCAAAAATCTACTCAAGACTATTATTACTTGGAACTCTAATATTTCCCATCGTACTTCCCGGCCTCTCTGTTAGCTATCCCACTTACTCAACTGTTGTTTGGTGTTTTTTTCAACCGACTTCAAAAAAGGAGTAGGTTCTCAATTAGTCGGAATCTTTTTATGTATGTTTACCGATTACTCGAAGACGCCTGAACCGATTTGGAAAAATCTTTTTTTTTAATTTAAAAACTGGGAAGCCCTATGGCTTCTCAGCACGTCTAGCATAGGCTGGGGACAAAAATTTTATCCCCCGATTATATCCACTGACAAGAGATAAAATTATCTTGTCCCTATGCCAAAGCACGGCAACGGGGAGGAGTATATCCTCGTTTGACATAACGAGTAGACATATATCCTCCGTCCGTAGCACGAAGCCAAATGAAAGATAAAAAATTATGCTTTTTTGACATTTGAAAGGGACAATTCTATCTTAGTTCATTGGACGTGGGTTTAAGTTTATATTCACACAAAAAAATCTATCTAAGTTTAAGTCTACCTCCCATTTTATCTACTGTGGATATTATATCCACCGGTGTGCCCATGCCCGAAGGGTGGATAAAACTAAGCGTGGGAATAAACATTTTCTCCTCTCCCCGGGGATAAAATTGTCTCCTGCCCATGCTAGCTATGCAGGTGGTTTCTTTTAATTTTTATTTAAATCGGTCAAACAGTTTAAAAATGAACCAAAATTTTATCATATTGAAGTCGGTTGTACAAAATTTTTAGTTTTACCACTAGTTAAACTTAATTTATGTACATCATTCGTTGTGGATGGACAATACTTTGTGTGGACTTGTGAAGGGCTGTAATGATATCATTATTATTAAATTAAAAATTATTATTATTTTCGGAAAGTGTTTTTCACTTCTCAGTCCTTAGACTCGAATTCAACTACATTTACGGGCCGAAACCAAAGCAAATGCATCGTGTGGTGTGTATATTTATGTATTTTCATGAGTTCCTATTTCGTTTTCTTCTATCTGCATGAATTTCCTAACAATTCTGAATGTATTTAATATAGCAGCTTTTTGCAGTGTAAGTTAGAGGGTTTCTTTTAGGCCTAATAATTTTAAGCTATGGAGGAGATGATTTGGGATTACTCCTGTTGTGGAGGGACTATAGGAACTACATATACTTTATTATTATTATTATTATATGGTTGTAGCACGAAAATGCGTTGCGTGAACGTGGTCCTACCCCGGTGGAGCCGACCGACCAAGGCGGGACCACGCTCTCACGGAATACCAGCGTAAATTATCAGCTTAATGCTGCTGTGTTTCGTAGGGTCAGTGTAGAGAACCGGAGACTGTATTTAGTGGCAACGAAGCAATGTCTATGTCTATGGACCACAGCATCCTATTACCATCAGGTGGAATGTGTGGTCGTTTGTCTCCCTTATTTTATAAAAATAAAAAATTAAATTGAACTAATAATATTGATCACGCAACAGCACTTGGACAAGAGACTATGAATATATACCTTGTTTTATTTTTAACGATGCTTTCCTGTTTTCCAGCTGCCGTTATGCAGAGCCATGCAGAATCCGGCGAAATGAAAAGGAAGCGAGGTCGCCCGAGAGTCGACAAGACCAGTCCAGAGTATCTGGCCAGGAAGAGGTCCAGAGAACTGGGTACTGTTTTAATTCTCAACATCAATCATTACGGCCTGTCAAAATCTACTGACGAACATAGGTCTAGACCATTGCATCATGAAAGCATCATCATTTCATTCATTAAATTGCCTGTTAAATTCCACTGCTAAACATAGGCCTGGTCCATATATTTTTAGTTAGGCTCGTTAAAATCAATATTATTTTATACTTTATGTTTCTTTCTGTTCACGCCCTTAGTTGTCCCTACAATAGTTGACTGGGCTAGGGCCCATAGTAGCCCCCTCGACGAGCAACAAAGGGCGGAGCCCAAATGGCCTATGGACAATTGACCTATACAATAGAGATAGGCTAGATAAATAAATAGGACGTACCTGGTTCCGAGGCGAAGACTGCCCCAAGGCTCAGTCAGGCCGTAGGTAGGTGTAGGTGCATGTAAAGTGATGTTTAGTGGTGTGTATAAAGTTTGACCTGATTGGACCGTTGAAGTCTGACCGCAGATCCACCGGCGCTGCCTCTACTCCAAAGGCGAGATCTCTCAAAAGGGGGCGATCACCAATTGACAACTTCTGTCTTCATTTCACTATTTCAGTTTATCAACTTTATTGTACTCTATTTCAATCCATCAACTTTATTGTCCATTTACTAACTTCAAACTCAAATAAATCCCCGTTAATTATAATCATATTAGTTATATTGTTGTTGTAATTATTAAAAAAACAATACATAATAAAAATTAAATAAATAACGATGAAAAAATATATTTAATTACTAAGCTGAACTGGCTAATCTTCGGGAATCCACGGCATGTACCTTAATGTGAACAGTTGTTATTAAACGCAACATGAGCATCAGGGATGCGCGCGTACTGTACGAATACTGTTCATACTATGTTGGGCGTTGGCAGAATATCCGCAGTAGAACCACAGTATGCGACATAGCCCAAAGGTTTAGTAATATGAAGTGGCAGTGGGCCGGCCATATAGCTCGAAGAACCGACAACCGATGGGGAAGAAAGGTTCTCGAGTGGCGGCCTGGTACCGGCAGATAAAGTGTAGGGCGTCTCCCCCATTAGATGGAGTGACGACCTGGTAAGACATGCAGGAAGTCGATGGTTTGTGGCTCAGGACCGTGCTTTGTGGCATTCCTTGGGGGAGGCCTATGTTGGGTAATGATGATGACTGATATTATATTGCCTCATAGGAAGGGGGGGGGGGGGGGCTTGTATCATAGTTACGTAACCACAGTTTCTTTATATTTAATTGTTATTAGAAAAACACTACTGACCATCGACTTTCTGCATGTCTTACTATGTCGTCACTCTATCTAGTGGGAGTCGTCCTTCACTTCGCCTACCGGTACGAGGCTGCCACTCGAGAACCTTCCTTCCCCATCGGTTGTCGGTTCTTCGAGCTATATGGCCGGCCCACTGCCACTTCAGCTTACTTGATCCGTTACGCCAGTCATGTCAAAGATACGGCCTGCAAGCCATCTCAGTACGGTCCGCGATTTTCAAGCATTTTTCAATATATATATTTTTCAATATTCCACCATCCATCTTCAGTCAGAAAGTGCAGCACGTGCAATTTAAACCCATTTCATTAATCAGGCTTACCCCCTTAGATTTCTCTTTTACTCCCTTTTTTTTGCTAATTATGTTTAAATTTTTTCTCTCACAGAAGCCTTGGAGAGGAAAGCGAAAAGAGAATACAGGAGACGTGCGACAGGAGGTGAGATTTCTATTCGTTCGTATTTCTTTCTTTTTCTTCCCTGCTTGATTTCTAGCACGTTCTTAGTTATATAATAAATTATCTATTTACATGTAAGGGCCCATTTTACAAATCGCTGCTAAAATATATTAATGAAAAAGTTACAAAATTTAAAAGTCGTGGATGCCAACGACTTTTTTTGCCACCAGGGCTGCGCCACTAGAAAGTGAGGTATAATATTTGTCAGCGTTCATAGCAGGGAAGTTAATTTGTTCGGAAAATATAAAGGGTATTATTTCTTTCTGCAATATTAGCTATATTTTATATTAATAAGACTAAAAATAAATAAAGTAAACCTCAGATATTCATAAAAGTAGAAAAATTAAAAAAACGTTAAAAATGTGCATAAAATTAAAGAGAAAACCACTGAGGCATTGTTTTGTGTATTAATATAATACTCTAGATACTGATAATCTTTTATTAAAAACCAACTTCTTAATTAAATGACACTGTGTAACAAAAAACTTACCTACCTTAAAAACTTACTTACCTCGGTGTCAACTAGCGACATCTGGTGAGCGGCAAATTATTAGCCCTCATTGACTAAGATACTTTTGAAATTAAGACTTCCTTTGTTTTGCAAACATAGGCAATACAGAAAGTGGTGACAGATATGAGGTACTGATATAAGAATGCGAAACATAAAAATTATTACATTAATTTTATATTTACTTAAATATCTCATCCATCTTTACAGTTGGTTAACTATTATATCTTTATTTAAATTACATGTAGATCATTAAGTCAATTGGTACATTAACTATCTATATCTACATTAACTATATATATATATATATATATATACAATATGTAACAAAAACCCTGTGGTTCCCGTTAAGTACGTTATCAGGATCATCATTCAAACCTATAGAAATAACTTTTTTTTAAAAACAACCATATTTTTTTATTTTATATATTTTTTTTTATTTTATGTGGTTTTATTAACTCTTACTGACACTAGCCTATGCTAAAGCTAAGTAAAGCGGGCTCTTTGACAATCCTCTTACTCCCCAGACAATGCAGAGGTAATAAAACCATATACAATTTGCATACAATTATTTTTTTATTTATTTATTTATTTATTTAACAATTTATGTACACACAAAATAATGTTACAAGGAAGAGAAAAAAAAAAGATATTCTGTACAAAGGCACTGCTTATTTCATATTGAAATTTCTTCCAGCAGGCCTGATACTGGACAAATTAAAAGAGAAGCTGATCTAGTGTGCACTCTCATAATAAAATTTTATAATAACATATTTTTTACAATTATGTTTTTTTTTTATATAAAATAAAAAAAATATTGTTCGAGTTTTTAAAAAAGTTATTTCTATGCGTTTGAATGATGATCTTGATAACGTACTTAACGGGAACCACAGGGTTTTTGTTACATGTTGTATATATATTTATTACATTATAAAAAAAGTCTATGCTATCTAAAATAAGGCTTCTACTTTTATTTGAAATATACCCACTTTTTTTTTGTAAAAAAAATACTGGTAATGGTATTAAACATTACTAATATTCCCTTTAACCACTTCTGGTAAGCTTAAAATGCGTGTGTTAGAAGTGGTTCACGACAGTAGTCGAATGGCGGATTCGAACCCACGACCTTTCGAGTTCGCGGTCCGCAACCTGCCATTAGGCTACTTTATGGGCAACAACATTTTTGCCTACCGATCGACCCTTACGAATGTGTGCGTGCGCAGTAAAATCAGTTAAAATAATGAATAACCACGCATTTTGAATTTAAAAGATAAAAAGGACAGAATGTTTAAGTTTTTTTTTAATTAATTTTTCTTCACCATTTGCCTATATTACTTATTATGAACCTTGTCTACAAATATGTAAATTTACGGTACCCAGGGTCACTCGTGGTACGTCGTGAAATATCCATGTTCAGGCCGTGGTCAATAGGGTGCGAAGAATTGTCGGAGTCCATTTAGTAAGCTAATTAGTTGCTTAGATAACAAATCCGCAAGAAAACAAACAAAATAACACAAACGCAAACGAATTCGATTTGTGACTATTTAGTTGTGATTTTGACACGACAGAGACCTAGTAGTTTTTTTTTTGGAGTTTATGGCCTGGCATCTAGACCTTTAGGCCAAGAGACCTAGTAGTTGTCAGATTCGATGTTGCCACTTAACAGACATAAAATCGATAAATCGATATCTATTTTTAATTCGATTTATAATTTCATTAAAAAGAATAATCTTGAGGCGCTTTAAGTTCTGCACGCCTTTTGATATATATTTTCTTTTATTTTTTTAAATTCTATTTTAAATGTGTTTTTAAGAAGATTGGATATAGATTTAGAATAACAGTTAAATTGTGCAGTAACGTTTTTGTTATGCTGTAAAGAATTCATAGAAAATCAACTAGCAATTCGCTTGTTTAATTATCTTAACATCATAATACTTATCGAAAAATAATATTTGCATTATAATAATAACACTAAAAAAATCGATCGAAAAAAAGGGAATCGATTATTTCAACGAGATATGTAATAGGCAACACTTTTTGTTTCCGTGCTCTCTGAATCTTTGTTTTATCCACAAACTAATGAATTACGGATTTACCTAATTCCATTTTTATCTTTTCGGTACTTTTTTTTTGTGCAAACATGTAATCTTTTTTCGATAAATGAATACCGCGATTAATAACCATAAAAAAAGATGTATTTTTTTAACAAAAGCAAATTGTTGGGCGTTTCATGGCCGAAATTGGGCATTCCCCTTTTCATGCGGGTAGAAAAAGGAGGAGGTTTATAATTCGACTGTATGTTTTTTTAGGGTTCCGTACCCAAAGGGTTACCAACGGGACCCTATTACTAAGCCTCCGCTGTCCGTCCGTCCGTCTGTCTGTCTTTTCACATAATGTGTGTTTCTGTTGCCGCTATAACAAATAATTAAATAAAAATAAATTAAAAATTGAAGGTGACGACTCCCCTACTAGAAACGTGTTTTTTTTTACATACATAGTATTAAATCTTTGCGATGGTGCGCAGCCCTTCATGCGCGAGTCCGATTCGCACTTGACCGGTTTTATATTGTATGTACGACGTGAATAAACATTTTAAAATTTTTTGTCTGTCTGTTTGTTTACTGTCTGTTCCGGCTAATCTTCGGATAACTTTTTTTTTATTTATAGTATAGGGTGACAAACGAGCACACAGTCCACCTGATGGTGAGTGGTTGCTGTGGCCCATAGACATCTACATTTATCCACGTATGCGAATCAAAATGCAGATGCGTTGTCACCCGTGAGGACTAAGAACACACACACACACAACAGAACCCTATTACTAAGCCTCCGCTGTTCGTCCGTCTGTCTGTCAGCGGGCTGTATCTCATGATTCGTTATAGGTAGACAGTTGAAACAACAAATAATATAAATTGAAATTAATTAAAAATTAAAGGGAACCATTCGTGCGCGAGTCCGACTCCTACTTGGGCGGTTTTTATTATAACCGATTTTGACAGGTTTTGTTTGGCGGGAACTTCACCGATGGCAGATTGTTTTCATATATTATCCATTATACTTTATATAATGATTGGCTGTCTGGTTGGCTAGTGGTTGTAAACGCGACTGCTGGTCATGAGGTTCCGGATTCGGAATACCCGGGTCGGGCCAAAAAAAAATCAGTTATTGAGTTTTTCCGTCAAGAAATTCTCAGTAGCTGCCCGGAGTCAGGAAGTTGGAGTGTCTCACCCCCGTGCCTCGGAGAGCACGTAAAGCCGTTGGTCCCGCGCCTGATCTATCTCCGTTCGTGTCGACTTACCGTCCCATCGGACTATGAGAGTGAGGGAATAGAGAGTGCACCTGTGCTTGCGCATACACTCCAGCACTATAATCCTGTCCTGCGCCGATGGCTAGTCTCCGTTGAGGCTGGCCGCCGTGACCGAAATTTGGTCTGGAGGACATTATCATACAATGATTTGAAGTGGATATCGATAAGTAAATGTGATACGATTTTGTGTATTAACTATCTGTACATGTGCACTATTAGTAATGCTATAATAATTATTATTATTATTGGAAACGACGAAACAAGTGCTCCGATGTTGATACCTCAGGTTATTTTGTCCGCTTATGAGCCTTAAGAACTTTAAATAATGTCGTCATCAAGTGTCTGCTATCTCAAGCTATCGTTGAAATCTCCCAAAAACTCTGCAACGTGATTCACCAACATACTGTGGGAAGGTTTTTCAACAAATTATTGTAAAGGATACTTTCCGAATACATCACCCTGGCCAAACTGCAACCGTCCATTCTCAAAAAAAAAGTTTTTTTTTTCCAATGATGTATTTCTAATATTTTGATATGGAAATTCGAAACAAATTAAAAACCATTGTATATAAATAGGGAAAGTGTGTAAGATATATATTGGTAAATTCTTGTAAAAGTATTCTAAAAGCCGTAAATAAAGTAGACTCGTTATTCTTAAAATTAAAACTGCATTTTTTAATGTTACCGGCATGTATAAAATGTAAAGCAAAACTAACAAGCTTCCATCACAAATAAAGGTTTCTAGAAAATATATAGTCTAGATAGTTTTATAAAATTACCTTACTACTTACCTAACTAACCTAACCTAACTAGCTTCTTTCCTCTGATCATATTGTATACTCTATGGTACGTATGGTTAGGGTAGAATTAAAAAAAAAAAACTATAAATGATGCTCAACTCCCGACTAAGCTTTCTTAATTTAAAATAGATATCTATTTGGAAAGAATATGTTTGTAAATTTATATTTGGGACACATTTAGGCATGCCAGATCGGAAACCTAAATATCTGGACAAAATTCGAAAGAAAGGAGAAATAATAAACCTAGCAAGCTAACAGCATATCAAAGTGGCGAAGCAATCAGCTTTGTAGCGGTTTCTAACGGTTGCCGTTGAGCAATCAGTTTCAAAATAGGAGGTTCAGATGCCTGGGTGATCAGTAATCGATTGCTGAAAACAGAATTTGAAAATTCAAAACCGTTCTCGAGATAATCGTGGGACAGACGGACAGACATCGTGAAATCAATAAGTGACTTCGCAAGCTTCGCCACTTAATAAATATTAAAAATATAAATGTAAAATAATAAGTTTATTTTTTAAATTAATAGGCCACAAAAAGACCTAACATTGTTGACACATAACTAATTTTTAGGATGCCATATGTACTTGGCATTGGACTTTACTAGAGTGCACCAATTTGGATCCTTTAGTAGTTCAAGTATTAGTTCAAGTAGTAGTTCAAATATTCATAAAAGATTTAAAATTCAAACAATTTACTTCAAAGTTCAGTCTAATTACTAACTCAGCTTTTATTAGACTAGTCTCTAGCTAGTCTCCGTTTGAACGCTAAAAAAGGTTCTGGTATTTGAAAGGGACGAAGAGATAACGAAGTGTGAAATATGGGTAAATCAGGAATGTCTAGAACAAGTAAATGAAATTGTATACTTGGGGAGTGCTTTCAGCCGGGATGGAAGATGTGATTTAGATGTGGACAGGCGTGTCGCTGCCGGGAACAAAGTCAATGGTGCCCTGACTGCGTTAGTCAAAGCCAAGGCGTGGTGAAGAGTGCACGCCTTGCAATACATAACGCAGTGTTGGTACCGACTTTGTTATATGGCAGCGAAACCTGGGTATGCCAGAAGAAGCATAAAAGCAAGTTGAATGCAGTGGAGATGCGATCTCTTCGTAAAATGTGCGGCGTTACCATGGCCGACCGAAAGCGAAACGAAGAGATTCGCAATATGGCAGGTTTGAAAGATGACCTTATCACGAAAATTGATAAAGGCGTGCTTCGGTGGTTTGGGCACGTTGAGCGAATGAGTGAAGACCGAATGGTGAAGAAAATATATAGCGCGAAAGTTAATATTAAAAGGTGTCGAGGTAGACCGAGACTAACTTTCGAAGACCATGTGAGCAAATTGCTCGAAGAGGGTAGGGTCAAGAGTACTCGGATACCTAGACATGCATGTATGAAGAAGATAATGAATCTGAAAGAAGCGAAAGAGGTATGTAAGGATCGTGACACTTGGCGATTTGTTCTCTCTGGCTACCCCGTCAGGGATTGTGCGTGAAGATAAGTAAGTAAGCTTTTATTAAATCAAAGCAAGCTGTGACGTGAAAAGAAGCTGTTTGTCAGGAGATTTTGAGTTTTGTCAGAAGTCTGGAGATCATTTAACATGTCGGGAGAATCCAAACGAATCCCGACCTGGCAACCCTGGACACATAACGTTTTCTTGTATACAATACAGTGGTGATCTAAAATCGCTTGGAACTCATGTTGATTTATAAAAAAGGTGTTAATTTGCGAAAATGCAGTATAATAGAGATGTTCAATTTAATTTAATTATTAGTCTTGCCTAGTTTGAAGACGTTTGAGTGCACTATCACCGGTCACCATTGCTCCAAAACACCACTACATTAGAAAAGGCACACCACCGTCGATATCGTCGTCTTTCCTAGTGCAGTACTGTTGGGATTAGTGGTGACGGGGTACGTATTCACTCAATTGAGGGAGGGAGGGAGTAGTTTTATAGAATAAGCGTTGTCACTCCTAAACACTAAGATGGAATGCCTCGTTTCCAGTAAAAGAAGGGTACCCAGTTCTCTACACTAACCCATACGAAACAGCAGACATTGAGCTGCTATTTCGCGCTGGTATACTGTGAGAGCGTGGTCCTACCGCGGCAGAGCCGACCCAGCTGCAGGGTGGCTCTACCACGTTAAACCGACTTTAATAATTTTCTACAAGCTTTGATGATTCCACTTGGCTAATGGCTAACCTCGCAGTACCACTGGCAACGCTTTCTTGACGCGTGATGTCATTAGGGGCCATTCATTAATTACGTGAGGATGATTTGGCCATTTTTTATAATAAAATATTACGTAAGAATATTTTGTAAAAAAGAAAATTCTTTTACCCTCGAATCATGTAAAATATACTTATATAAAGAGATCAAGAGAGAGCATCACGTTTTTATTGATTTCTTTGCATTATGATTCTTATATTATAAAAAGTCCATTGCTGAAGAGGTATTTCCCCCATGGGGAAGATATCCCGTAGTCTGAGTACTTTCAGTCGGGAAAATATCATCATCATCATCATCATTACAGCCCTTCACAAGTCCACTGCTGAACATAGGCCTCCCCCAAGTAACTGCACAAAGCACGGTCCTCAGCCACCTGCATCCATCGACTTCCTTAAGACATGCGTCTTACCAGGTCGTCACTCCATCTAGTGGAGGGCCCCCCTACACTTCGCCTATCGGTACCACTTGGCCGCCACTCGCGAGCCTTTTTTCTCTCCATCGGATGTCGGTTCTGTGAGCTATATGGCCGGCCCATTGCCACTTTAGCTTACTAATCCGTTGGGCTATGTCGGTCACTCTGCTTCTACTGCGGATATTCTCATTTCTAAGTTTATCACGCAGAGAAACCCCTAGCATAGCCCTCTCCATAGCTCGCTGAGCGTCCTTGAGCTGCCTTATAAGGCCAGCAGTGAAGGATGTAATATTTAATGACTTGTAAATATTTCGTAAATATGGCTTTTAATATATAAGTTATATTAAGATGTGCGATGACCTGTGTTTTTCTCTGAAATTTCATGACCAGCGAAAGCGATGGTCAAATCGACCAGTGCCGGTCGGGTCGCGAAAAAGCTACCGCCGAAGTCGAAACACGGCGCCGGTTTGCGTAAGCTACCGCCTAAGATGGCGACGGTACGAAAGATCGGCGACAAAAAAATCATTATGAGACGGAACACCAAGTTTATAAAGAGAAAAGGTAAAATACAGTAGTTAGGCGCTGCATGCAGTAGAAATTATTGGTTTGTTGGCGCGAAATGTTGTGCTTACTGATTAAAGGTTTTTTTTAATTTATCTTGGCTTTGGCTACAAGGCCTTTAGACAATAGGTAATAAAAAAGAAAACGATGAAAGTGCTGGAAGAAAAATATTTTGATATTTATTTGGAAGAATCGATTTTGCTTGAATCGATCGGAATTGACTTTTAATCCTTTCAATCGAAACCAACGAAGTATTTTTTATCTATGGTGTCTGATGAAGCATGTTTTCAATATGTTTTGTATTAATAGTATTGGTGATGTGCATACGTGGTATTTAGAATTACCTACTTGTATCTGCATGAGGCATTCGTAAAATTATTTTCTATATTTTTAAAACAATTTTAGATTCTAATCTTGCATTTAGAGAGTTTAGTCTATTATAGAGTCTATTATTTAGGAGAATAAGACGAGTTTATTTTTTTCTGATTTTTCAGTTATTTTTACATTACTGTATAGTACATAGTCTGATTTCATGGATTTGCTAATTATATTTCTTGTTGCTATACATCAGGTGATATAAATATTATATAGTAAAATGCCTATTATTTAATCCAGCTTTAAAAAGACTTATTTGAGAGATGACAACGCACCTGTGAACTTTTTAGCCCGAAGTAGGTTGCAGGCGTCCATGGGCTGCAATGACGACAATGATGACAAGTTTTTTTAAACTGTAGTGACAAACGAACTTAACGTTCACCCGTTGGTGCGTAGCTCCTGGATATCATAGTCATCTGAAACCCAGTTCAAACAAAAAAGATTACAAATGTGTTGTCACCACTGCGGACTAAGATGGAATTCCACACAGTATGTAATTAAGGTTCTCTATACTCATCAGTCCAACGTGGTAAAGCCATGCTGCAGCTATATTAGTAGTATAGTTGTAGCACGAATGGGTCCGCCCAACCGGGGAAGGACCACGCTCTCACAGAATACCAGCGTAAAATAGCAGCTTGACACTGCTGTGTTTCGTATGTGTAGAGAACCGGATACCCTTTTACTGGAAACGAGGCATTCCATCTAAGTGCTCACGAGGTCACGAGTGACAACGCATCTGCATTTTGATACGTAATCGAGGATAGATGTAGATGTCTATGGGCCACAGCAACCACTTACCATCAGGTGGACTGTGAGCTCGTTTGTCACCCTTATCCTATAACAAATAGCCCAGAACTGAAGAGTATAGAACCGCAGTGCAAGCAATGGTATTTGGCGGCAGTATTAGGTAAGAGGGTGATACCTACCTCAATGGCTTCCAGGCAGAATAGGAACCCTACTAAACTATATTAATCTAAAGAAACAAATTTTTTTAAACGAATTTAATGTGATTTTTATCGATAAACAAAATCCTTAGACCAAATTCTCTAAACCAAAAGTGGTCGACATCGACCCCTTGGGGTCGAAATCAGTTTCCCAGGGGTCGACATAAACGAAATCTGATTTTGGGGGTCGACGATGTCTAAAAATAGACCACTACGAATCAACACATGTTATTAGTAACACAAGTTAGGTTCATCAATCTTATTGGTTTTTTTTTATTTTTTGTTTTGCTTTGCAATATTAATGTGGTTTTTTTTTCAAAAAATAATTACCTAGTTAAGTATTTTTTACGTAATTTGTATCAATAATTATTAATTACACTCGACATTTACTGAATTTTATGTCTAGTAAAATGGGGTTCTCTCTTATGTCCATCTTTTTTGTACAGCCAGACTTCCAAATGAGTCAAAACTGTTTTGTGGTCAATCCTCAATTTCTCGGCTATGTCGTAACTACTAATATGCCGATTCTGTTCCACTTTATCAAAAATGGCAGCGTCTTTATCCGTATGAGGGCGACCAGAGCGAGCTGCATCTTTGACATCAAAATTCCCGGATTCAAACGCTTGAAACAACTTTGTGCTACTCTTACTGACACTGCGTTAACCTCTCAGGCCCCGACGTTTTATTGGACCAACTTAGAGCTATGGTCAGACAAGGACAATTTTTTTATATAAATGTAAAAATAAGGTAGTCATTTTTCCAATTAGCTTTACTGTTTTATCTTAAAATAAAAAAAATATATCAACAATTAAAATATTGAATTATTTGTATGAAGGTCAAGTGAGCGCTAGAGAAACTACAATTGCAAGACGTTGTATGTATGACGGTGCATGAATATCCATATCATCTCGTGGATGCCGTAAGAGACTTTTGGAAAGAAAACAAAGAAACTTTTGCCTCATCCTATCAGCTACAGCTTGACTGCCACGTCGAGTAGCACTGTGCAACGGATAAACGAAAGATACAATACTTAGCTGCAAAATGTGGAAGTTCCATATTTTAAGTACCGTATCTTCTGCTCCTTTCTGATCAGACTACAAAAAAACACGCGTGCAGTTCACTGGCGGCAGAAATAAAACTAGAAAAGGAGATCGAGATGATAGGAAACACTGTATACAGTATTTTATCTCATTCTCTCGTAGGTTAAATCCTTTAGATGTATGTATTTGTCTCTTTTGAGTGTCGATTTTTCGTTTCATCGAATCGACTTTGAAATCAGAACGATTTTAAAGAAGTTTTCACTTCGAAAAGGAAGAGGTTCTGAATTCTAATGCACGTGGGGTACACTGAAAGGTTTGTGCAACTCATAAATAATACTATTTATATGTGAATAAATATATTAAATACTTTTTAAAGTCATCATCATCATCATTACAGCCCTTCACAAGTCCACTGCTGAACATAGGCCTCCCCCAAAGAATGCCACAAAACACGGTCCTGAGCCACCTGCATCCATCGACTTCCTGCATGTCTTACCAGGTCGTCACTCCATCTCGTGGGGGGACGCCCTACACTTCGCCTACCGGTACGAGGCTGCCACTCGAGAACCTTTCTTCCCCATCGGTTGTCGGTTCTTCGAGCTATATGGCCGACCCACTGCCACTTCAGCTTACTAATCCGTTGGGCTATGTCGCTCACTCTGGTTCTACTGCGGATATCCTCATTCCTAAGTTTATCACGCAGAGAAACTTTTTACTGTAAACTTTTTAAAGTATTCTACATTAAATCTAAATCACTTTTTTCTGCCGACTTCATAAAGGAGACGGTACTCAATTCGACTGTATGTTTTTTTTGTGTGTTACCTCATAACTTTTTACTGGGTGAACCGATTTCGATGTTTCTTTTTTTATTTGAAAGCTGGTACTTCACATGTCAAGGTCAGACCAATCGTTTTTGAGTTCTTAATAATTTACATTGAAGTCGGCTGTACAAAATTTTTAATTTTATATTATATTCGTTCAAACCGTTTCTGAAAACATAAGGGCTATTAATTTCTGAGAGTATGTTTCTCATGTGCTGGTGGAAAACTTTAATGACCTTTTCTGGCTCAGTAAATGAAATAGGTGAAATACGGCATTCTATTTGTACCATGAGCTTGTGATTTGCCTGAGTCTACTCAGAAGAGTAAAAGAATGTATTTTTTTTTAATAAAACGTAAAAACCGACTTCAAAGAACTATGAAGCGCTAGTTCTTGCTCCCCGACTTCGCACGGGTGATTTCTGGATTTCGACAACAGCGCCTATCAATACTGAATCTAAACGATCCAAGGACCCACACAAACGCACAAAAAAAAAGTTAAAAATTAAAAATTTTGTACAACCGACTTCAATATAAGTTATTAAGAATAAATCGAAAACTATTCGTCAGACCTTGATCATATTTATATGGGACCACATGAGAAGCACCAGCTTTCAAATAAAAAAAGAATCATTGTAATCGGTTCACCCAGAAAAAACTTATGAGGTAAAACAAATAATTAAAAAAACATACACTGCGGCTGCCAACCCGTTTGTCAAGCGTGGCAACTATGGCAAATGTCCCCCTTATGGGGCAATGTAGGAGGGAGGCCTAAATATTTTATTTACGCGTCTTACGGTACAAGTCGCGGCACGTAAGTCTAGCGCTGAACAAAACGTGGAGGGGACAGCTGCGCATGGGTACTATCGCGCATGTATCACGCATTAGTACGGGAGACTGAATACGACTGGAGAGCCAATAAGCGCGCGGAATGTGACTGGAGAGTCAATCAGCGCGCGAAATGCGACTTAAGAGCCCATCAGCGCACCGAATGTGACTGGAGAGCAAATAACCGCGCGGAATGCGATTGAAGTGCCCATCAGCGTGCGGAATGCGACTGGAGACAGGAGAGGCAATCAGCTCGCGGAATGCGACCAGAGAGCCAATCAGCGCGCGGAATGCGACTGGAGAGCCAATGAGCGCGCGGAATGTGACTGGAGAGTCAATCAGCGCGCGAAATGCGACTTAAGAGCCCATCAGCGCACCGAATGTGACTGGAGAGCAAATAACCGCGCGGAATGCGATTGAAGTGCCCATCAGCGTGCGGAATGCGACTGGAGACAGGAGAGGCAATCAGCTCGCGGAATGCGACCAGAGAGCCAATCAGCGCGCGGAATGCGACTGGAGAGCCAATGAGCGCGCGGAATGTGACTGGAGAGTCAATCAGCGCGCGAAATGCGACTTAAGAGCCCATCAGCGCACCGAATGTGACTGGAGAGCAAATAACCGCGCGGAATGCGATTGAAGTGCCCATCAGCGTGCGGAATGCGACTGGAGACAGGAGAGGCAATCAGCTCGCGGAATGCGACCAGAGAGCCAATCAGCGCGCGGAATGCGACTGGAGAGCCAATGAGCGCGTGCGAACGAAACGCACGCCCGCTCCGCGACCCGCTTAACTACCCCATGATACCTTAATTTCGAACTTTCACCGCTAGACTTACGTGCCGCGACTTATATGGTATTGTGTAGCATTTCGTCTCTTAGGTATTGTGAGAGGTGACAATGAGATATGCCAAAACGATCTTATAGCTGCCGCTAGATGGCGGTAAAACATATACCTTACGTTAGACGTAAAATATCGCCGATTCTGACGACGGACTCTTCTTGCCCCATAATCTCAGAAATTTGAGAAGGCATGTAACTGTATAGCTAGGTACTTAGTGTGAGAAAATGATTTATATACCTTATATATTTATACATGTATGAGACGATTCCATAGGTACTCTGCACCCAATGAATTTGACATAAAAAATATAATAGAAGAAATAAAGTAGATAGATACTTAGTTCCTAGAATACGTAGTGCTTTTGCCAAAAGACAATTTTATTGCCTTGCGCCATTACTATACAATAAATTTAATAAGTTTTGTATTAGTAAAATCTACAACAACTATGAAATCAAAAGTAAAATAATTAATAAACTGAATGTCTATTAACCTATAATGTGTAAATGTAATTGTAATAATTATTAATACAGGCAATCATACAAATTTAGGTTTAGAAACGCGTATTTTCTTTTTTATAGGAGAGGGGGCAAACGAGAATGCGGCTCACCTGATGGTAAGTTACTACCGCCGCCCATGAACAACCGCAACACCAGGGGAATTGCAGATGCGTTGCCGGCCTTTAAAAAAGGAGTAGGCTCTTTTCTTGAAGCTCCCTAAGTCTATCGGTCCGGAAAAATCGCAGGTGGTAAATTATTCTACAAGGAAGTTGTGCGAGGAAGAAAACATCTTCTAAATCGCACAGTGGTGGACCGCCAATCATTCAGATGGTGTAGATGGTATCGGGAGTTCTGCTGCGATGCGTGTTCGTGAAATTTGGCGGCTGGGATTAATCCGAACAATTCCTCACAGCACTCCCCGTGGTAAATGCGAAAGAAAATGCAAAGAGATGCAACATCTCTTCACAGCGCCAATGAATCGAGCCGATCGGAAAGGACTGGGGAGCCCCGGCCCAGAGATGGGAACAGTATTCCATGTGCGGCCGAACCTGCGCCTTGTAAAGTTGCAGGCGGTGTGCCGGCATGAAATACTGTCCCGCTCTGCTGAGTACGCCAAGCTTTTTAGTGGCCAATATGGCCTTCTCTTCCAAGTGACCGCGAAACTGCACGTCACTCGATATGTCAACGCCGAGGATTCCGATACTGGCTGAGGCAACAAGGGGAGTGCCTTGAAACTGAGGAGATACGACAAAGAGGTTCCCTTGTATCTCGTTTGTCACCCTTATTCTATAAAAAAACATTTGGACTTCGTATTGTTAAAAATAGAAATGATATTACGTTCATTGAAATTGAATAATATATAACTTTCAAATAAATTTGTCGGTACGATACGCGCGCCGCCTTCTGTAAGTTAATTGTACTACGCCTATAACCTTCCAAGTGAAAGTAACAAGTATGACGGCTCCGTGGCGCAGTGGCTTAGCAATCAGTTGTTGCGCTGGGGGCCGCGGGTTCGAATCCCGCACGGAACAAGTATATGTATGGCCTACAAATAATTGTTCCGGGTCTGGATGTTTGTCCTTGTGCAATTTATGTTTGTAAACTGCCTCCACGACACAGGAGAAAATCCTAGTGTGGGGGTAACGTTTTTTTTTTTAAAAAAAAAGTTGATAAAGTTTTACCGCAGTCTGAAGAACGATATGGCACGTAAAATAGGAACAAACAAATAAAAATAAATTTTTATATATTAGATATATATTTAAGTGCAAATCGATAATCGATTGTTACGATTTCATTGCCTCGTTAGTCTAGTCGTAAACGCGCTGATCACGAGGTCCCGGGTCAGAATGGTAGCTACCATTCTGACCCGGGAGTCAGAAAGTTGGCGGTGTTTCACCCCCGTGCCTCGTAAAGCACGTAAAGCCGTTGCTCCTGGGCCTGATCTCTCTCCGGTCGTGTCGGATTTCCGTTCCATCGGACTATGAGAGTGAGGGAATAGAGAGTGCACCTGTGCTTGCGCATACATACATATTTCAACTATAATCCCGTCCTACGTAGATGGCCAGTCTCTAATGAGATCGGCCACCGAGATCACCACCGAAATTCAGTCAAGAAGACATTATTGTGTTTTAAAATTTATTTTTTGACATATTCAATAGGCAAATATATTTTATAAAATATTTTAGAATATAATTAGAACACTTATCCTTATATATAAAAATTACGTGTCAGATTGTTTGTCCGCGATGAACTCCTAAACTACTGAACTGATTTCAACTAAATTTTGCACAATGTGTGCAGTTTGGTCCAACTTGAGGGATAGGATAGTTTTTATCCCGATAAGTGACACTCAATATTTTTTTATTGCGAAGTTAAGGATTTTTTATATGAAGGACCGTCGAAAAGGGCAGAACAACGTCTGCCTGGTCAGCTAGTATTATTATATTTTTAAATAGTCGGTCTGTAGGATATTATAATTATGATAATTTTTCTTACTTAATACATTGTCCGATTCGTTACAGACTCGGCCGCGTCCTCGTCGACCGGCGAGACGACGCCGCGAGTCAAGCGTAAATACACGAAGAGAACGCAGAGTACGAAAAAGAGTGACTCGGTGAGTTCACAATGTTGTTTACTTGTGATACTGGGTGGTGGGACTCCTTTTTGCTCTAGAAATCCGTTTGGCAGCGTTGTCGTTGCGTCACAAGTGAAACACCGAAGCCTAAATCACGCTATCAAAGTTTCGAGGTACTGCAGCATGTTTTTTTTTATATAGGATAGGGTGACAAACGAGCACACAGTCCACCTGATGGTAAGTGGTTGCAGTGACCCATAGACATCTACATCTATCGTCGTAGATGCGTTGTCACCCGTGAGGACTAAGATGGAATGCCCCTGTTCCAGTAAAAAGGGTCTCTGGTTCTCTACACTCACCATACGAAACACAGCAGCATTGAGCTGCTATTTTACGCTGGTATTCCGTGAGAGCATAGTCCTCCCCGGTCGAGCCGACCCATTCGTGCTACATCTATACCACTAATATAGCTGCAGCATGGCTCTACCACGTAAAGCCTAAGCCATGTTCTAAGTAGAACAGCTCTGTAGCTAGACATGTGTCATTCATTCATTTCTAGACCATTCAAGTATTGATTCGTCTTACGTCCATTTAACATCAGATGGAGTGTCAGTTAGTTCTTTCTTAGTTTTCGAAAAAAGAAAAACATGCGCGCGTGTCGCGGAGCACTCGGTTGGAACGAAGTTCCCGTTGTAGTATATTATTATTGATAAACGTATTATTGTATTATTGATTAACAAATACAAATAAATGAATTACTAGCATCTATTAGAATGATGCGTCATATAAAATAAAATATTATTTCTTTCATGGCGAGATGGATATTATTCCATCTCGCTCGCACTGTAGTAATGGGGTCGTGACGGAAAAATCTTTTAACGTGTCACTTTAAAAAAAATTAACGTGGTAGAGTCATGCTGTAGCTATATTAATTGTATAGTTGTAGCACGAATGGGTCGGCTCGACCGGGGAAGGACCACGCTCTCACAGAATACCAGCATACTATAGCAGCTTAACATTGCTGTGTTTTGTATGTATGGTGAGTGTAGGGAACCGGAGACCCTTTTTACTGGAAACGAGGCAATTCATCTTAGTTCTCAGGGGTGACAACGCATCTGCATTAGATTCTTAACTGAGGATAGATGTAGATGTCTATGAGCTGTAGCATTCACTTACCATCAGGTGAACTGTGTGCTAGTTTATCATCATAATCCTATAAAAAAGTCCTCAGTGATAACGGCACTTACCATCAGGCTCATCATCACCTCGTTCGTCACTTTAGTTTAAAGGTAAAGTAAAGTTGCCTAACAGTTCTCATGAAGGTTTCAGTTTAGGTTCTGGTTCTAGTATCGGAACCGCTAAATACCGGTTTTTATCGGTAACTTTTCCATCCCTGCTAACAATTTAATTCAAAGTTAAAAATGTAATTCAATGTTAAATAATCTTTTCCAGCAAACTCCAACGACAGAGAGAGTGAAAGGCAAGAGAGGGAGGCCGAGGAAGACTGAACAGTTGGCGGCGAAGCAGCCACAGCAGGCCAGTGAGTATCATCTCTTCTTTACACTAACTGTCTTCTTGGATCATTTTGACTTGACAAAAGTGATCAAACAGAAGTGTAGCAGGTGGGGGAGTGGGGGGGGGGGGGGGTTTAAAAGATTCATGGCCTCGGGCGGCAAATTCCAGGAGGTGGTTGTTTTAGGAAAGAATTTCTCACTTTAACTTTAAATGATCGTAATAAATCTTCAACCGTTTTCGTTATAGTCTATTAAAAGTCTATTACTGTTGGCAATTCAGACATGTGTCATTCATTCATTTTCATTCTAGTGACCCGATAATTGAAGTATTTATTCGTCTTACGAACCGAGTCATTCGGGTCGATCATTCAAATGGATCATTTCGAGGTTCAGGTCTCTGTGATCTGTTTTTGGTCGTAGGTCCTGTCAATAATTTGATCCGAAACGTTCAAAAAATGTAATTGCAATCATCAATAATACAAACTATCTATATCATTCACGTCTGACACATGTCTAATCTATATCTATATCTATACAAATAAATAAAATTGAAGTGTCTGTTTGTAATATCAAAATAAGGACCTTTTACTAAATGCATATTAAAGTATATACGATACTAATAAGAAACGGCCGGACCGATTTCGACGGGATTTTCACCGGCAAATAGCTGATGTTATAAGGAGTAACTTAGGCTACTTTTATTATAGAAAAAGAATTAGGTTTCCGCTCAAAGAATTATAACTTATGAAATCCAATCGTAATAAATTCCACTCGGGCGAAATCGCTGGGAACAGCTAGTTGACATATATAGGCCTCCACCAACGATAATGCATCTGTTGCATTCTTTGTGTGAAGTTGGTTGCAGTAGCCACTTACTATCAGGTGGACTATATAAGTTCGTTTGTCACTATAATTTTATAAGATTTTTGGAACGAAGTTCCTTATCGGATGGTACGGGTTTGGTGGATGGGAGCTAGGCGACAAAAAGTGTAAGATTTTTTCGTCACGACCCCTTGTGGTCATAGTGTAGACGGCCTTGGCGGCGAAATAAGGAAGCGAGATGGAATAATATCCATCTCCCTCGCATCTTTTCTTATCTTGCCATGAAAGAAATTTTATTTCAAATGACGCTTCATTTTAATAGACGCTAGTAATTCATTTATTTGTATTTGTTAAAGCCGATAGATATTACACGGATCAAGCAAATTGAAACAATTCCATTGAAAAGCATTGAATATTGCACATTGAACAGCTTTACCAATATACACGTAAATCATTCAATGGCATTTAATGTTCACAATGCAATGCGATGTAGCGCCTACTCGTACGTGCTGGAATTTCGTTAATCTGCTACTATTTAATAAATGAGTTAAATAATAATAAAAAAAAGAAAATCTCTGCGCTGGTAGGTGCGCCCGGTGGATTTTGAGATTGGCAAAGAAAATCCAAATTCATATTTGAACCATTTGCGAATGGACGAAAAGTCAATTTCATTCAAAAAATTATCAGCCTGAGCAAACGAAGACAACTTTGGCACATAAACTTCATCCATTGAACAGCCAATTAGTAGATTTTTTCTTCTTCTTCTACCTAGCGTTATCCCGGTTGCTCATCCCGCCCAGCGCGGGAGAACCCAGGGTCCGCTTTCCGACACTTCCTTCAATTAGTAGATTTTTAAATTTTAGCGAATTCATAACTACTTATATCTTGTGCGAATACTTTTTATTTTTAACTTTATGTCCTCTTCAGTGACACCATCAATATTTTAAATCTTCCTTCAGTGATCTTATAGCGCATTATCACGCTGATTTCTTTGTAAGAATTTGATTTTGTATTTCGCAAACACTCATACAATCGGAAACGTTCCCTAAAAATAGCGGAACATGACTGTCACGCCACTTGAAAACCATTTTCGTGCGTACGCTTCGCTGTCGTGCGGTGCGCTGAATATATCTTCATGTATTCACTACACGTTTCAATCGCATTGAACAATGACCAATATTGCTACTATTGCATTGAAAGAGTTCGGTGAATCGAAGCTTTCAATGAGAAGCGCAATCGCATTGAAATGTATTTAGATGTTACAATGCTATTGAAGCAATTAAATTGAAAGCAGTATTGAACCGAAATTGATCCGTGTAATATCGGCTTAATCAATAATATATAATACCTAAGTTTATCAATAACTAGCTGTGCCCCGCGGTTTCACCCGCGTATATCACGCGTCTGCGCCTTGCGACATGCGAACTTCGAGAGAGACATCACTACGGACGGTTGCTGAATTAACAAAGATTTAAAAAGTGAAATATGTCAATAAAATTACATGGTTAACGTAATTGGTGGTTGTGCATGATACAGGTACTGATACGAATAATGTGGCCTAGTTTGTACCGGCGGTACTATTTCACATTTTAACATGAAAAAGTAGTTATTGTGACATAACTGTAATAGTTAAATATATGGTATCGCAGACTTTTTTGTAGATATTGATATACTTTGCTCTATTATCAATAGTTTCCGCAGCGTACGCGATATAAGGATTCTTTTTGGTATTTTTTCTTATCTTGGGTTACATTAACGAAGTTTTCATACGGATCCCTAACTTTTTTGAAAATATATAGTTTATGTTCATCAGGGATAATGTAGGATTCTAATGGTGAAAGAATTTTTCAAATCGGTTCAGTAGTTTCGGAACCTATTCAAATCAAACAAACAAACAAACAAATCTTTCCTCTCTATGATAGTAGTGTAGATAATATACTACGCAAGGAACTTCGTTCCAACCGAGTGTTCCACGATACTCACGCATTTTTTTTTAAATATGTCACAGTACGTGAGCAACCCGTGTTTGACCGCTGCCGGTATTAATCTATACAATCTATACAAATAAATAAAATTGAAGTGTCTGTTTGTAATGTAAAAATTACAGTTTTTTACTAAATACATATGAAAGTAAATACGGTACTTATAACTAAAATACAATTTTTAAAATTTTTGTCTGTCTGTCTGTCTGTCGGTCTGTCTGTCTGTCTGTCTGTCTGTCTGTCTGTCTGTCTGTCTGTCTGTCTGTTTGTTCCGGGTAATCTCCGAAACGGCTGGACCGATTTTGACGGGACTTTCACTGGCAGATAGCTGATTTTATAAGGAGTAACTTCGGCTACTATTATTTTAGAAAAATAATTAGGGTTCCCACTAAAACATAAAAACCCTAACACGCGAACGAAGTCGCGGGGAACAGCTAGTTCCAATGTATAAGTCCACTGCTTATCAGATTGCGGTATAAACTTTGTCAACTTATTGCTTGCACTCGCGTGAAGGTTATAGGCATAGTACAATTAACGCGCGTAGTACAATTAACGCGCGTAGTACAATTAAGTAGATGGCGCGCATATCGTACCGACAATTTATTAGAAACTAGTTGTTCGTCGCGACTTTGCCCGCGTGTTATTTGGGGTTTTAGTTTTTTTGCGCGGAACCCTAATTATTTTTCTAAAATAACAGTATCCTAAGTTACTCCTTATGACATCACTATCTGCCAGTGAAAGTCCCGTCAAAATCGGTTCAGCCGTTTCAGAGATTAGCCGGAACAAACAGACAGACAAAAATTTTAATAATTGTGTTTTTGTTATAAGTATCGTATATACTTTCATATGCATTTAGTAAAAAGCCGTAAGTTTGACATTACAAACAGACACTTCAATTTTATTTATTTGTATAGATTTATAGATCATTTAATTTTAACTAATGTACTATCATTCCTAATTAAGCAATATAACTCTTTCAAATTTAAAACGATATTTCTACAATTATTTCATTTGCAGCAGCAACGTGCTGGATATCAGTTAGTTAGTTACAAACAGACACTTCAATTTTATTTATTTGTATAGATTTATAGATCATTTAATTTTAACTAATGTACTATCATTCCTAAATAAGCAATATAACTCTTTCAAATTTAAAACGATATTTCTACAATTATTTCATTTGCAGCAGCAACGTGCTGGATATCAGTTAGTTAGTTACAAACAGACACTTCAATTTTATTTATTTGCATAGATTTATAGATCATTTAATTTTAACTAATGTACTGTTACGCGCCACTATTAATGTCTTGTACATGGCAACACTAGTTACACTAGCGCCCCCTAGTGTCGAGTAAATGAAAGTATTGCGCGCCACTATTAATGTCTTGTACATGGCAACACTAGTCACACTAGCGCCCTCTAGTGTCGAGTAGCAGAACTAGGAGAGTCGAGATCCTTCCAGAAATTTCGGGACCGATATGTACTCGAACATTCTAGATGTCGCTACAGTAGAAGGTTCTGGAAACTATCTGCGGCCCTATATAAGGCCGGTATAGACCACGACCGGGGCAGTATTGAATTAGCGATACAAGAGAATACTTCGAAGCGAAATAACGGCGAACTGTGTTTTATTATTAGTGTGATTTTAGATTGTAATTAGTGTTGTGTAATTAAAGTGTCAATTTTGGTAATTCAATCGGCAGTTTTTAATTGTCTCGAACCCCAAGCTCGTAACAATTGGTGTCAGAAGTGGGATCAAATATGCCGATTTTACCTAAAGACGACACGGAGGGTATCCGTACCCGAAGTCAACGCCAACAGGAGACGGACCAGAGACGATTTGGTAATGCAACGCCGCAAACGTCGGAGGGCCAGTTGCTAACCACGGAGGCTGGCCCGTCAGCAGCTCCTGCATCTGCAGCACCTGACTTAGGTGCTCTGATGATGATGCTGCAGGATCAGGCTCGCCGACAGGAGGAACAGGCCCGCCGACAGGAGGAACAGGCCCGCCGACAGGAGGAACAGACCCGTCGGCTGGAAGAGCAGCTGCAGCGCGGTATGGAAGAACAGATGCTCCTCAGGAAGGACCTTCACGCTACCTTCGGGAAAGAGATAAAGGAGGTGAAGGATAGGGTTGCTCAACATGACAACCGCCTGTCGGAAGCTGAAACCCGAATCGACCAAGTGAACAATCGGGTTGACAACGTGATGGCTGATGTGAA